TCAAACACACCCAAACTTTGACCCAATCAACTTGAGAATCCAAACTTCAATCTAGACTTTGATTCTACCTTTGATCTAGCTTTGACCCTATCCATTCATTAACAACCACCACATGATTGTAAATGATTTGGATACTTCAATATTAATCATTCAAACTTAAAATCCATTCCAAATCCAGAAATCCAGACTCAAATCCAAAGTCTTAAGGCCCTGTCCTAAAGACCTTTTTCAAGGATTTTTCAAACACTTCAAAACCCAGTCAAATGACATATGATTCAAGATCTATCACTTGAAAAGTGATAAGACATGTCTCTAGAGGATACCCTCCAATTTTGAGCCCATTCTGAGGTCTCTAACTCCAGAATCTGAATTAAAATCCAAAGGCTGTAAAACCTTCAAATATTTACAGCCTATGCCATTGGACCTAACACCTTAAAGATTTTGATCTTGGAGCCCTCATCAAAGCCTCAAATCACTTCCAGACCCTTGATTGTAACCCATTGAGCAGTAAACTGCATTTTTCAGACCCATTTTTGACCCTAGTTGACCAATGGGTCAAAATTGACCAAAATAACACTATGGGATTTCAAAGGCCCATTTCAACTCAAATCAACTCCAAACTCTTTGAAACCACTTCCAACAAGTTTCAAATATCAAACCCAACTTGTCTACGCGACCGTTACTGTCAGATGGCACATAATCTTTTGCTCTCAGGGGTTTTCCTCTAAGCCTGTCTCTAAGCTTTTGGTGAGAAGTTTTGAGTTATTAGGTTGTAAAATTATGCAACGTACACAGCAGAAAATATAGAAGAGAAAAAAAAAAATTATTAAGGTTTAGTTTGGGACAGCTTTTATTGTTTTTTAAAATAATATTTTAATATAAAAATTTTTATTTCAAAAAAAAAAATTTATGCTAAAAAACTGCTCTGAAAAATAATAAGAAAAGCTGTCCAAATGAAGCCCAAGTGGGATCAAGAGTGAAATTCCCAACGAAAAGAGAAAAAAAATCATAAATTAAAAATATTACAAATGTACATAGAAGTACTCAAATAATGAGCATACAAAATCATCAAACACATGCAACTGCGATATGCATATAATAGATTCACACAATTTTATACTTAAAAAAAAAATTAAGTACCCAGCCAGCACTTCTTCACATGTAGCAGAGTTAGGGTATCTTAAAGTAATTTTTTAACACAAAATTTTTAATTTTTTAACTAAAAAATTACTTTAAGAAGCCTTAAAAAAACTGTCCCAAACGAAGCCATAATCTACACATAAAACTTTCTCCTTCTGTTAAGTACAGCACTTAAAATTCCAGTCATTAAACTAAGTGATCTCATGGACAAGCACAGGTGGAATGATCATGTTGGATTTACGCAAGTGAATATCAGCTTTAGTTGAAAAATTAATTGAGAAATGTTAAGTGCAAATTTAAGAAAAAAATATTTAAAAGTTTCTATCATTGGTATAGTATAACTACTCCTAATAACATTGGCTCAATTGGCAATGAAAGTTTTTATATGGAGATTAGAGTTGTATTCAAGTTTTCATATGCAATCTGTTTAATAATTCTCTTTTGAGGAGAGGATATTAGAGACTAAAATTTTTTTTTATAAATATCAGTTATGATGTCAGGAGTTAGAGTTAGTGTTGATAGTATGTATCGAGCTAATTAGTGATGGCGTGCATCTATGTTTTATATGAAGGTAGACGACAAAATAATTGTGTGTTGGGGTTGGAGTCGACAATGTGCTTCTACTTTATAAGTGATGATATACATCAATAGCATGTATCATGCCTTATAGGCGTTGTCATGCATGCATTGATAGTGACGTACATCAATTTTTACAAGCGATGGCGTACATGACACTGTTAGTGACGGGGGTGTAAAATTAATGGATGCCAACATTTATATCGACGACATTAATTGGTGTCGATAGCATGCATCAAGCTTAAAGGTGATGGTTCACCGAAGTTGTTGATAGGAGACAATGTTTGAGTAGTTGTGCTCAGAGATTATAGTTGAGTGATTGTGATTGAGAAATCATAGTAGGGTACAAGTGATCAATATAATACAATCAAGAATTGATATTTTTATGACAATGGTTATGATACCAAGGACAATTGATGATAGTGATCACTAGCTTTGATCTTCTGAATGAAACATCAAATATAGCTCTTAAGTTCTTTGTATCTCCAAACTCAAGTCCACGGTCCCATCTTCCCCTTCAATTAAAGAATGATAGTCTAGTAGTTTTCTAGAGTATGATTTTGATAACTTAGCCAAAATCCAAAAAATGCTCAATCGAACTGCCCATATTAATTCTCTAAATCATAAATAATTCTTTCAGCATCTAAGTGTCTTAAAAACCACATAATTAAGTGATTTTGATCTCGCTATAATCCTCTCATTGAGCCACTTGATTTGATTATAAACATACATGATTCAGACATCGTTTGATCACACAAATTAAGTTTCCAACTATACTTTAATTGTCTAGTTTGAACTCATTTGGACTCCGATATGACCACTTTTCATGTGGTTGGGTTTGCTTCATGGTTTTAACATTAGAATTATAGATATAATTTTAACGTTGGTTTCAACGATAATCTTTCTAAAATTAGAATTTGAATGGTTTAGATTTTATTCAAAAATTTTTAATCCAAATATTGCATCATGATTGATAAATTTTTTTGTGACATAAAATATAGTTGGAAACTTTCGAAATTTTCATTTGTTAAGTTCGTAGATTTTGGCACTTTATGTTTATATCTATCATTCCAATCCCATGCATATAGTACGATAAAAGGTTGATGTTATTGTTGTTATTTGTTTATATCTATAATTTTGTTTTTTAATGAAATCTTTAGGTCTGTCTTAATATTTAATGTTGAATGTTCTATTTTCTTTTCATCAAATTAATATTTTATTTCATAGATTTCCTTTTTTTGCTTACATCCAAGTGAAATTCATAGGTTTTTATAAAGTTCAGTACTTATTTATATTTTGTAGATTCAAAAATTTCTTAAATATTCTATTTTGGATCAACATTTATTTGCAAGATTTTATGTTTTATCTAAGTAACAACTATGTTAATTAAATTTTTTTAAATAATTAAGTTTATTGTTTTAATTTTCTTACATTTATTTTTATTAATTATCATAAAGTTAAAGAATATATGCGTATGCAAATAAATTATTTAGTTATGTATAGATTTGGATGAAGGTGAAGATGATGCTTATGGTTTTTAACCATTTTAAAAAGGGGAATTTACATATATGCCACTAAAATTTTAAATATTTATATATCTAACACTTACAACTTTATATTCACTCTTATAACACACATATCTCTAAACCATATAAAAAATATCACAAATATAAATTTATTTAAGGTAAAACATATATTCTCATACATATTTTATGTTGGTGTTAGATATATTAATTTATAAAAAATTTATGATATATTTATAAATCCGACTTTTAAAAAATAATCCGGCAGCGCAGGCGAAGCGCGGCATCGCAGCATCGCGGGCGGAGCGGGGACGTAGCGCGGGCTTGCTCGGACTCGGGCTGGCTCGGACTGCACGTTTCGGGTCAAACGGGTTGACCCGGCAACCCGTCGGGTCAACCCGAACCCGACCCGTTTTTCAAACGGGTCGATTTCTGGAACCCGAACCCGACCCGTTTTGCATTCGGGTCGGGTCCAACCCGAATTTTTCGGGTCGGGTTCGAGTCGGGTTTTCGTGTCGTGTCAAATATTGACACCCCTAATTTGAACCACTGGAATCTGAAGAGGAAGAGGAATAAGTGATTCAACCTGCTGAAGCCCGCAGACAGCGCCGGCGACAAACACAGTTCGGTAGCCAGCATGAATTCAAGGTGAAAATCGACATACCTTTTTTTGATGGGCATTTACACATAGAGGACTATTTAGATTGGGAAAGGGCCGTTGAGAATTTTTTTGAATACATGGAGATCGAACCAATGAAGCAAGTGAAATATGTGGCCTGTCATTTGCGAAGCGGAGCTAGTGCGTGGTGGACACAGGTATTGCAGACGAGGCAACGGGAGGGCCGAGGACCCGTGCACACTTGGGCTCGGATGCGGCAGCTACTACGTACTCAGTTCTTGCCTACGGACTATGAGCAAATCTTATACATGAAATACCAACAATGTCTACAGGGAAATCGTTCAGTTAACGATTACACGGAGGAGTTTCATCGCCTAAGTGCCGGAAATAATTTACACGAATTGACTAATCAATTGGTCGCTCGTTACATTGGTGGGCTCAAATACAGTATTCAGGAAAGGCTTGAATTGAATTCCATTTGGTCTCTTGCTCAGGCCATTAACTTTGCTCTAAAAGTAGAGATGCAGCAGAACAGAACTTCCCGGTTTATGACTCCTCGACGGTCCCCTGTAGTTGTCTCTGGCGACCCGAGCAAAGGAGCATCGTCCTCTATCAAAATCTCTAACACTGAGTTTCCTCCTCCGGATAAGCAACCAACTCCAGTTCAGGAAGTAAGACAATTACCAAAGGCCAAGTCCGCCACTCCTAGCAATCCCTATGCCAAACCATCGTCCCTCAAGTGCTTTCGTTGTTTTCAACCTGGACATAAATCCAATGAATGTCCCCAACGACAGCAACTCCAATTGTTGGAACCGGAAGAAGGTGAATTGGAAATTCCGTCCAAAGCAGAGGATGACCTATATGTCAAAGACGTTGAAGGAGATGAGGGAGACCCGCTACTATGTGTATTGGAGAAACTGCTAATAGCTCCCCGCCTGAATACTATGTCCCAAAGAAATGCCATTTTTAAGACACGTTGTACTATCAACGGCAAGGTGTGCGATCTACTCGTGGATAGCGGCTGTAACGAGAATATTATTTCTCGATCCGTTGTACAAGCTCTTCAACTTAAGACGACACCAAATCCGTAGCCATACAAGATCAGCTGGGTAAAGAAAGGGATTGATATCTCCGTCACCGAAATGTGCCAAGTTACCTTCTCCATTGGACGACAATATGCGTGCGAAGTGATGTGCGATGTCTTGGACCTGGACGTATGCCACTTAATCCTGGGGCGTCCTTGGCAAATCGATGCTGGAGTGATTTATGATGGGCGAGCTAATGTCTACTCACTAGACTGGAAAGGAAAGCGCCTCCGCTTATTACCGGGCTCCCGCGACGGCAAAACTTCAAATGCAAATACATCCTCTGCTGCCATGATGCAAATAGTCACTGGCCCTACTCTTCTATTAAATTGGAAAGATGAATCAGCTATGTGGGCCCTAGTCACTACTGATGTCCTCACTTCCCAAGTAACACCTGCTCCAAAATTAGTTGAAGGATTACTGGAAGAATTTCGGGATGTATGTCCAAGTGAGCTACCAGCAGCACTTCCGCCTTTACGCTCCATCCAGCATCAAATTGACTTCATACCGAACGCCTCCTTACCAAATCTCCCGCATTATCGGCTGAATCCGACATAACAGAAGGTCATGCAAGGCATAGTCGAAGAACTAGTGAACAAACAGCTTATTCAAGAGAGCATTAGCCCCTGTGCCGTCCCGGCCTTACTGGTTCCTAAAAGAAACAGTGAATGGCGCCTATGTGTCGACAGCCGTGCAATAAACAAGATAACGGTCAAGTACCGTTTTCCGATACCCAGGATTGATGAACTCATAGACAAGCTGGTCGGAGCCTCCGTCTTTTCAAAGCTAGATTTGCGAAGTGGTTACCACCAAATACGCATTAGGCCCGGTGACGAGTGGAAGACGGCCTTTAAGACTCCATTGGGGCTCTACGAATGGCGTGTGATGCCATTCGGATTATGCAATGCACCCTCGACATTTATGCGAATGATGCAAGAAATGTTGAAACCAGTGTGGGGCAAGTTCTGCATCTCTTATTTTGATGACATCCTTGTATACAGTAATTCCATGGAAGGTCACCTCGATCATCTCAGGCAACTTCTAGTCATCCTTCGGACTAACAAACTATTTTTGAACCTTCCCAAATGTGAATTTGCCACAGCCCATGTGCATTTTCTCGGGTTCGTGGTGTCCAAGGAGGGCGTCCGTATGAACCCAAGCAAGGTGGAAGCTATCCTCAATTGGCCGACTCCACGTTCCTTTTCCGAGATCAGAAGCTTTCATGGCTTAGCTAATTTCTACCGGAAATTCATTAAGGAATTCAGCGTCATCATGAGTCCACTAACAGATTGTTTGAAACTGAAAGAATTCCAGTGGGGTGAACAACAACAGCGCAGCTTTGATGCCATCAAAACCGCCTTAACTTCGGCGCCCGTCTTAGCCATTCCCTGTTTTGACAAGTTATTTACGGTAGAGACCGATGCTTCTGGAATCGGCATAGGGGCTGTTCTATCCCAGGAAGGCCGCCCGGTGGCCTTCTTCAGTGAAAAATTGTGCCCATCCCGACAGCGATGGTCAGCATACGAACAAGAATTGTATTCCGTCATTCGAGCTCTTAAAGAGTGGGAGCATTACCTATTACACCAAGAATTTGTGATTTGCACAGATAATAGAGCTCTACAATTTATAAACAGCCAAAAACATGTCAACCGTATGCACGCCCGATGGGTATCCTTCCTTCAGAAATTTTCATTTCTCCTCAAGCATCAGTCCGGTAAACAGAACACGGTTGCGGATGCACTCAGCCGAAAAAGCATGTTGTTAACTCAACTTCAAACAGAGTTCACAGGGTTGACGTCAATCCAGCAATTATATGCGGCTGACCCCGACTTTGGCGCCATTTGGGAATAATGCCAACAAGGCCAAACTGTTTCAGGTTTTTGTATTCGGCATGGCTTTCTTTTTCACCACAACCTTCTCTGTATCCCATTATCTTCGTGGAGGCAGCACCTGATTAAAGAAGCACATTGTGGAGCTCTTGCCGCCCATGCAGGAAGAGATAAATCTCTAGCTCAATTGAAGAGCCGTTTTTATTGGCCGAGAATTCGCAGAGATGTGTTTCGGTTCGTCGACCGCTGCTCCATATGCCAAAGTTATAAAGGTGGCGCTCAAAACACAGGTCTTTACTTACCTCTACCGGTTCCCGATTCAATTTGGGAGGATCTCAGTTTAGACTTCGTCCTTGGACTACCCCGCACGAAGAAAGGTAACGATTCGATCATGGTAGTTGTCGATCGTTTCTCAAAAATGGCTCATTTCATCTCTTGTAAAAAGACGTCAAATGCTTTGCACATTGCTCACCTTTTTTTTCATCAAGTGGTTCGCCTTCATGGCATTCCGAGAAGTCTCACCTCGGACAGGGATGTCAAGTTCATTAGCCATTTCTGGCGAGAACTCTGGAAGCGGTTGGGAACAGATTTGCGCCTTAGCTCTGCCTACCATCCCCAATCTGACGGTCAAACGGAAGTCGTCAACCGCACCTTGGTTAGCATGCTCCGCTGCCTTGTACAAGAGTACCCGAAGCAATGGGAAGAAGTACTAACCACCGCGGAATTTGCATACAATTCGATGGTGAATAGATCCACGGGTAAGACTCCCTTTAGCATTGTTTTCACTAAAGTACCAAACCTTGCTTTGGATTTAGCAATTTTACCCAAGTGTAAATCTGGAGCTGCAAAGAATTTTACCAACCAATACTCACAAATGCTGGAGGATGTTCGCCTTCAATTGACAAATGCCAACCGGAAATACAAAGCTGATGCTGATCGTCACCGAAGACCACTTGTCTTTAATGTAGGCGATCTAGTTATGATTCGGCTTCGCCGTGAACGATTCCCACCTGGCACATACTCCAAATTGAGTCGCCGCAAAATTGGGCCTGTCCCGATCATTGCCAAAATGAATGACAACGCCTATACAGTTGAATTACCACCTGGGTACACGACCTCACCTACCTTCAATGTCTCCGATTTGTGGCGATATCACCCTCCAGATCAGTCCCCGATTACCATCAGCTCGACGGAGACGAGCTCTTCCGAAGCCGGGGAGGACTGATGCAGCGCATCATTGGAGCCGGGACCACTTACCGTTAGCTTGCAGCTCCCACCTCCACCTTTTGCTCTATTCGGTTATGGCCAGTACTAGTTTACCTTTTGGGCTGTTAATCCTTCTTTAGTATTTTCTTACTTAATATTTTATTTGAGCATTTTATAGATGCAGGGTTTATATACCCAGGGAAGCTGTGAGAAAAGGCAGCTGTTATCTTTACACCAAAGTTATATTTCTTCAATAGAAACCATCCCAGGCTCATCACCGCCTGGGGTCTTACTGTTCCATTGGTTGCCTCTTTGCTTTGTTCGTTTTTCTTGCAGGCACTTCGTGGAAGCCTCTCGACGGACGACGATCTTGGGTTGCATCATGCAGGACTCACAGTTCTTTTCTCTCAACTTAAAGAGTCGTGCCGTATGAGAGAGGATTCTAACTTGGGATGGGGGGTTCCCAATCAAGCACGTCCACCAACCCACCTGAGCATGATCGAGTAAAGTTCTATTTTTTATTATGTGTGTGTTTTTTTTTTTTTTTAACATTGTAGGTAATTTAAGTTAAACTCAAAGAATTATTGGATGTGGAGAGAACCAGATACCAAATGTTATCCGGAGCTAACTGAATAGCTTCCGATAGCAGTACCAAGCCCGCTGGAGGTAATGAGCACATAGGATGAGCATATCTGGTTGGTCTCCGGATGACATTCGGTGTCCAAACATAATAATTAATCTAAATTCTCACAACTCATTCCATACGTAAAACTTCAACTCAGACTGCTAAATATAGATAAAGTTCTCTACCAACATAACAAATGGAAGCTATTGTTGTTCTAAACTATTTATATCGTGAGATTTATTATGCTTCTGATGTTTATGATATCAGTTAGGTGTTTAAAACATTATAATGTGCAATATAATTTTCATGTAAAATTATCAAAACATTATATATATTCTTAACCAAAATTTAAAGGACAAGTTTGCATAATAAAAAGAAGAGCAATTTATTGTAAGTATATTTCTCTTATACTTGACGATTCATGCCTTTTAGGAAACATTTTATTGTCACCTTCCTATATTATTTGATCTTAATCTCATGTATTGATTGCACTAATAGTAATCAATGATTTGTGCGCTATGAGCGCATGATATGCCTGCAACATCATCTAGGACTTTCGTTTGAGACGACCTTTCTCTTCACTACGTTCTTAAAGCAACTTTTATGTAAAAATTATAATTCCTAAACTACAAAAACTATTATAAGCAATAAAAAGGTCGTCCCAAACAAATCTTAGGTCTGTTCATGATTTGAGATTATATTGTTTCCAATTCATTTTCTAATGACTTATCAAAAAAATTTGTTTTATGATGAATGAAGTTATCAAATGAAATTTAAGTCACTCAAATTGAACTAAAAACTCAATTGTTTGCTTAATGAAGCAATAACATTGTTATCATGCCAATATAATAATATTTTCTATAATAGGCGCAACTTCTTATTAAATTTTATTTCGTCCCTCTAAAGGTTTTGTTTGGACTATTTTTATTCTGCTTCTTAAGGACAAATTTTTTTTATAAAAATTTAAATTTTTTTACTGAAAGGTTTTATTGAAGCAATTAGAAAAACCGTCACAAAAAGAAGTAAATATAAGATAGATTCTCACATAATACTTTAATAAAAGCTTTGATGATATATTAGTAAAAATCAAATGGCAAGAAACAAATTTTCTCATATTTTTCCAAATATTTAAATAAAAAATTTATTTTGAAATTTTATAAGAACAAAAAATTCTAAAGATTTGGACTGAAGATAATATTTTTTGACTCGATGAATTTCAATAATAGAAAATCATCCAAATTCAAATGATCTTAATTGCAACAATTAAAAATATCAATTAAAGCTTCAAAAAATAATAAATAAACTAACTTTTTGTGCTGTATAAACAAATGAAAGATTTTTGCTAGCCTTCTGAAAAAGTTCTTACCGTCGTTGGATCTCATTTCATTTGGAGACAAAAAATGTTTTAAAAAATAAAATATAAGTATTTGCATCAATTATTCTCACTAATTATCTCCTTCACCGAATTTCCATAAAAAAAATACCCTATGAAGTATACCTATACCTTAGCTTCTACTCAGTAATATATATACCTTTATACTTATATATATATCAAAATTTGATGTTAATTTATTTAACCATTTATTATTAAAATTGTATCCTATCTTAATTAGATGAATTTTGAATTTGTTGCATAAAATAAACATTCATATAGATTAGAAAGTAGTTATTTTTATGTTAAATTCTTATCACCAAAAGAGTTGAAAAGTTGTTCTTCTTTTTAGGGCAATTAGGCCAATTAATTCAAGCGCACGCACACATCATACATGCAAGACTCAATCGAAGGAGAAATTATTTTTGTGCGTACACCGGACTGTCCGGAGACCAACAAGAATGCGTCACGCACCCGATACACTGCGGTACCGAGCAGGCGAGCACAGTACCAAGCAAAAAAATGACGTACCATGTTCTGATTAGCCTCTGAACGTCGTCTGGGATCCACACATAATAATTTTTCCAATCAAAAACCACTTAATTAATAACCAAATCTCGGATAAAAAAGAGCCATTTGAAAAGTTGTTCTAACAAAGCCTATAATTCTCGGATCTCAGTTGTCAAGCACTTTTTGAAAGCTTTTGTGCTTTTGCTTCAGCGTTCTTGTGCTGCGTCTCTGACTTCCATATATTATAGATAGTGTTGTTCCTGTTTTTGATTTCCTCACTGTAATAATTGTTCCTTTTTTTAATAGAATTGGGCCCTGTGAGTCTGTGACTGTCCTAATTTTCCTTAACCAAAATAATAAGAGGAGGCAAAGTCTTCCAAAAGGATAAAAGGGGTGGGAGACAAAGATTTGCAGCAAAGGTGAAGTGAAGGGCAAAAGCGAAGCAAAGGGGAAGAAAGTGGAAAAAACAATAATCAACGAGTTAATGAGTGCTAGTACTGTTGATGCAGCGTCGTATCTATGGGCTCTTCTAAGGGCGTGAGAAGAAAATTGTAGACAGATTGAGGCTAATAAGATTGTTTTCATAGAGAAGAGTGGAGAAAATCTATTGAAAGATATACCAATGTGGCATTACAAGCTAGAAACTAGAAAGAAATAATTCACTGACCTGAAATACTGACTCCTGACTCTTTTCTGAAAGGAAAATTTATTATTTGCGGATGCCGAATGTCGTCCGGAGATCAACTAGAATGTGCCACATCACCCTGTGCTGGGTACCGCTAACGTGACACATTCTGGTTGGTCTCCGGATAACGTTCTTCGTCTGGTCTCCGCACAGAATAATTTCTATTTCTTGAAGAAGAGCAAAGATAGTTGATTTTGAAGCAATGTTCTTGGTTTGTTTGGCTGGCGGAGCAAAGCAAAAGCATTAAAATCAGGTAGAGTTGAGAGAAATCTGAGGACAAATTTCTCTCCGATGAGAACTGGTGGCTATGAGTAGATATCGGATCTGTTTGGAATAGCTGTAGTATTTTATAATGTTGGTTGTTAAGTTCATAGCTTTCTACTACAAAAATTTCTAAAGAGTGGTGAAAATAGTAGCATTCAAATGAAATTTTTGCTCCTATATGAAAAGAAAAATAATCAGAAAATTGTCCCAAACATAGCCTGAAATAAAAGCAATGAAACCAAGCTGAATAGAGAGAAATCAAATTTATCCGTGAAGAGAAATGGTAGCGACAAGTGGAACCAAAAGAAAGTAGTGGTTCCAAACAAAATCAAGAGAAACGTAGAGAATTTCTCTCATTAGCAAGAGATGATCATGACAAGAGCAAAGAGATGGCCACAAAATTAGGGAGATAAAAAGTAAATCCTCCTTCGTGAGAGATGATAATGATGAGCGAAATCAAATTAAGGTTTTGTTTGGGATAATTTTCTTACTACTTTGTAAAAATGATATAGAGAAAGTAACTTTTTAAAGCTATCGTAGATAATAACTTCGTAGTATAATAACTTTTTGAAAGCAATGAAAAAGTAGTTGCCAAATACAAATTATGACTCTGATATGAAAATCAAAGCAATAAAAAAATTGTCTCAAACGAAGCCTATGTATTCACAAATGGAAACTTAATAATAGCACAAGAAAGGATTCCATTTAGACAACAACATAATGATCATTGGATGGAGGCTAGGAGAAGAATAGGGAGGAAGAGGAGGCTCTAATATCATGTTAGAAATATATAGAATGCTGCATATTTACTTGACTAATTATTATGCTGGTACAAATATGTGTATATAAACTATAAAGAGAAGAGAAGAGAGCATTATAAAAAATAAAATAAAAGAGAACATCCTCACTAATAAGAATATATTATAATAAAAAATACAATCAATTCCTATCATATTCATTAACCATATATAATATTATTGATATGACAATATATTTAAACATAAAAACTCTAATTATTTAAATCATAATCATAAAATCATTTCTTATGCTTGCTTTCCATCACATCTATTACATAATCTAAGGCTTCATTTGAGAGAGCTTTTTTATTGCTTCTTAAATCTGCTTTTTTATTGCTTTTAATTGTACTAAAAAACTGCTTTAAGAAACAATAAGAAAGTCGTCCCAAACGAAGCCTAAATCTTAAATAATGTTATGAATAACATAATTTGGTGTTATGTATAACACCATTTGATTATGTTCAATACATTTGTATTTAAAAGCTATTATTCATAGCACCACATGGCAACATGTAAATACCAATGTGCTACTCATCAACAAAAAAATAAAAAAACTTATGATTATCTATTTCAAATTAATAGCAACTTTATTATATTATGTATTTTACATTATCATGCAAAATACATCAAGCTAACATACACTACTAAATTAATATATTTATGATAGTTTTTTTTTTGCGGCAAAATATGTTGTAATTTATGACATATTTTAAAGTCTTTTTATATAATTTTATAGCTGGCAAACTTATCATAAATTTACAACTGTTTTACAATATGTGCATCATTTCATCGTAAAATTCATATCATTACAAGAAAAATGTCAAAAACCAGCGGTTCGTATGGCTACACCGGCGGTTTTTTTTTTATTACCGGCGGCTTTGTGACGGCATTCAAACCGCCGGAAAAAATTGCGTAGGAAACACTTACCGGCGGCCTTTTACCGGCGGTTTATTTAGGCGGCGGTTTTCCGGCGGCCTATACCGCCGATGACGACCGGATTTGCAACCGGCGGTGTTCCGGCCGTTAAGCTGTCGGTTAGTTTACTGACGGCTAACCGGCGGTCACATTACCGACGGTATGCCGGTTTACCGGCGGTTTATGGATCGTCACTAGTACCGGTGGCTTAACGTACCAAACCCATCGGTTAGGCCGCCGTTAAAAGCCGGCGGTCAAACCGCCGGCGAAACCGCTGATGTTACCGGCGGTCCATAAACCGTCGTTAGAACCGCCAGTAATAGGCATTTTTCCTGTAGTGTATTAACTTACAAATATTTTTTATCTTTAGAAAATGTGTAATAAAATTGTCTAATTCATGAGAAATAAATATATTTTCAGTTGAAATAATAAAAAATATATATTTTCATGAAAATTTTGATAGAAATTAAGAAAAGACACTAACTTATTAATTAACTATCTATGAAGTTTGAATGGTGTTCCAACTTTTTCTTCTTTAAGGTTAGATAATCCACATATTTACTAAGTATTGGATTATTGTAGGTGACATACACTTATAATAAGGATGCGCATAATTCACTCAACAAATGAAGTTCATCATTTTGTTATCTTAACAAAGAACTAAAAATCTACCTAAGTAATAAAAATGAGAACACTAAATCAACAACATAACATAAACAATTACATTCACAATTTTATAGTAAGCTCATTAAATATAATCTATCGCAAAACATTCAAAAGTAGTAGCATAACAACATATTTCTTCATCCTACTTAAAAAGGTAAGGTCATCCGTACGAGAAATTTAGTTTAACGAGATTAGTGTGCTCCAATAGTCAAATCTAACATGAAAATAATCAAACGAGTATTTGAGGATTTTTTATATTATTTTGCATGTAGCGGTTAACAAATCACTTACAAGCAAAATTAAAACAAACTCGGTGATGTAACTAATAAAATGCTTTTATTAGCATTTTTTTTGTCAAGATATATATGATGTAACTAATACTAGATAACTCACCTCAAGTGAAGAGGCGATAGTCTTAGGAAAACTTGATTCCCCTAGCTGTTCTCTCCATCTAAGGCTATCCATCTTCAACAAATATTATCATCCAGGCTTCAAGAGGCACATACACATATGAAGCCCATCGTCATGTTTCCATCGATTATATTTATCATTAGTTCATAAATGCACTTGTCTAGGAGACTCGTAGTTTGACCCATGAGACTCGTTGCTCATTTGGAGGACTCGCATTCATTATCTCTTCAAAGGTACTTGCTCAATTTTGAGGCCTTTCCCAAGGCACTCATCTCCGATGGCTTGCCCAGGATAATCAATAGGGCACCCCGCCACGTTAGAGGGAGATGACCAAGTTTTTACCTTTCATCCTAATCCGAAAAATTATTGCGTCCTCCCACCTGACGTAGAGCTACATCAGGTAGCCTATGATACGTCGCCACGTGCACTTACTCTTGACTGAAGACCCAACCCGTAACGGACTCGGGAGTTTGCGTAGCTCGGTATTACTAGGTATTAGTCGATTTTGCTCGACAAAAATGAAAAATACCATTATGTGAAGACCAATACCGAGAAATACTGAGAAATACCGAGCAATACCGAGCAATACCGAGTTCTTTTAGGTATTACTCGGTATTGCTCGGTATTTGCTCGGTATTGCTCGGTATTGCTCTTATTGCTCGGTATTGGTCTTCATATAGCAATACCGAACAAATACCGAGTAATACCGAGCAAATACCGAGAAATATGCAAACATAGTAATCCCGGATTCGGTCCGAGTCGGGTCGTCGGGCTGCGCGGTAAAAAGTAAGTGCACGTGGCGACATATCATAGGCTACCTGATGTAGCTCTACGTCAGGTAGGAGTACGCAATAATTTCTCCTAATCCACAAGTTTATGTCAATCTATACTTATTAAATCATATATTATTTCTCTATTTTTTCTAGGATTTTATATAGCACTTTTAATGTAGAATTTTGAGATATCAAATGTAAGCGATGATATTAATGATATGATAAGTTCAATAAATAATTAAATTTTGGTGTTAAATATTAATTACAATAATCTTAAGCATCATGTAATTAAATTCCTCAGTCTTCTTTAATATAATCATGAAACTTAAGTCAATAATACATGTTCAACATTGACAACCTGAGAAACAAAAAAACATATGCAAGTTCGTTATCATAAACCTCCACATTGAAAAGAGTTTCAGGTCTTTTGTCACATAAAGATCTCCATCCCAATCCGAAACCCACGCTACAGCTCTCATTGATGGCTTTCGCGGTAATCCAAGCTCGTAATCTCTTCCTCTGCCGCCATCATCGCCCTTTCTTTGCTCTCCTCCGGCGCCTCGAAAACCCTAGAAAGCTCTCTTTTTCTTCACCCTTCGCTGTACCGGGAACTCTAATTCTTCATTCCAGAAACCTAGCTTCAAGTCCTTCGTCCTTAGGTCCATCCCCACTCTATTCCTCTGGCGACAAAATCTAAACTTCTTTTTCATCATGTGCTTGGTCTTGTTCGCAGATAAAACCCTAGTTTTTACGACGGACGAGCGCTTCGGAGACTCGGAACCTAGGGGCGGTGAGTCGGAAGTGGATGCGGGCACAATCGCGGCCATTGTCACGCAGGTCGGCGGCCCTCCTGCGGCGGTGGGGATCGTACGTTTGTCAGGACCGACGGCGGTGGAAGTGGCGGCGCGAGTGTTCCGTCCGGCTAGGAAGCGGGCGGAATGGGGTTGCATTTGGAAACCTAGAAGTCACTTTGTGGAGTATGGGTTTGCTCAGGATAAGCAGGGCAATGTCATCGATGAGGTGCATTTTTTAGCTTAAAATTGTTAATTTATGTTTTGATGTATAAGATTTTTTTATTTGAAAAGTTAATCATGATTTTAATATTTGATATGGCGTCTAGACCGTCTTTTGAAACATCATGATTTTACTTGAATCATACAACGGCTGCTTACCAATCTCTGGAAGATAAAAAAAAAAGTCATTTTTGTCATTGGCTTCTGACAGTTGCAGATGAGTTTTAAGCTAAAAAATGCACCTAATGTTTTAGTTGAAACATGCAAAATTCGGCGTCTTCTTGTCATGTGGGTTCATTCTATTCACTATTATAGTTGCTTTCATTTAAAAAATTAATTGTTTCCTAATAACTATTATTCTATGCGGATTATAGTAATAGTGAAGTATGATATCAAGAAATTTGATTGTTTGGAGAGTTTTAGGCTTTATAGGACAAAGAGTCATGATATTCTCATCTAGTTTGGAGCTATGAAGGCACTTGTGGGGTGTTTGAATATGCTGAAGTGTGAGTAAAGAAGATGAAGTAGAGATTCACAAAAAAGCTCTCTTGGTTATCGAACTATTTTTGGCCAATTGTATAACGAGATTTGATGGAGTTTTCCAGGGCATGGTGAGCTTGCTAAATCTACTTGAGGATATCTTTGGAGCCCATCTAGAAACTTTAGCCCATCACTAACCTAGGCTATTTGTGATTTGGGGGATAAGCTTTGTTATTCATTTTCTCTAGTGAGCGATTAGAGGTGCTTCTTGTTAATCTTGGTTGAGTACTTCACCAAGTGGGACTAAAGTGAAGGACTATGTGAAAATAACCATAGATGTTATAGAGATGTTTATGTGGCCAGACATGTTTACTTGTCTTCCTTTCACAATCATCATGAATAACGGCTCTCATTTTATCAACATGAAGCTGATGGGCTTTTATGACTCTATGGTGTAAACCTTAAGTTCTCTTCCTTTAGTCATTAACATAATAGCAATTAATAGAAGGCAATCAACAAAGCCATCATGAACCTTCTTAATATAAAGCTCAACACCTTCTTGTCATCATGAACATTCGTTAAACAAGATCATCATTTTACTTGTGTCCTTTGATTTGCTCGATAATACCTTATACCGTCACTGTAGAGATCCCCTTAATGGTTGCCTTCATAACCAATTCAGTCATTCTAGTCGAGGTCTCAGTAAGTTCAATGGGATCTTTATGACATCTACTCTTTTTAGTGAACATAATTTGACTTTATATGACAAGAACATGAAGGACATTTAAGATTCCAAATCACTTTGATGAACAAATCCAAGAGGTGGACAAAAAGCTAGAAAGCTACAAATCACAATCCCTTGCAAGTTGCAATCCACAACATGGATTGCAGGAAGGCTGCAATTCTCACTTAAAGTTGTTGAACCAACTATACGAGTCACATTTGATCATGAAAAAGCTGTGAATCTTGCATTTGCAAATATTGATGAGGTGGGAGGATGCTTGTAAATCTTGCTACAAAGAAGATTATTGAAGGCACCGAATAGAAGAGGCTCAAATATAGTTAGTTGAAGTCGAGAACCGTTAGTTCCATGGGAGCTTCACCAAAAAAACTCCATATCATGTAGTTAATGTTTCTACCAAATAACATAAACCTTAATGTCTTCTTATAGTATTTGGTCTCCTTTTGTTATTATGTGTTCATCGTGTTTACTCATAGTAGGCGCTTCCACATAAAAGTTGTATGTTTTTCCTAACAATCATGCATATAATCTTTATGCTCATCTATATTACTATCATATGAGAATGGCCACTTATTCTTATTAGCTTTGTTTGATAGTCCCTTTATTTTTTTGGTATACAACATAACAAGATAAATTATTTTTTGTTTTATATAATTTAATTTTGTTTAATGATGATCCATGGAGTGTAATTTTAGTAGTAATAGATCTAGTGGGGGGATTGTGACTTTGGGCGATCAAGTCATTAATAAGAGTACACGTTTTAGGTATCTTGGATCTATTGTTCAGAGTAATGGTGAAATAGATGGGGATATTATCAGTAGAATTCAAGTTGGATGGTTGAATTGGATTATGTGATAGAAAAGTCTCTCTCAAACTTAAGGGAAAATTCTATAAGATGGTGGTGAGATTTGCAATGCTTTATGGTGTAGAATTTTGGCCATTAAAAGAGAAGCATAATACTAAGTTAAGTGTTGCAGAGATGAGGATGCTCAAGTGGATGAGTGGATTTACCCTTAGAGACAGAATACAAAATGGGCATATACGTGAAAATGTTGGAGTAGCTCCAATGGAAGATAAGATTAGAGAGAGTCGCCTTAGATGGTTTGGTCACATAAAACGACAGCCTTCTTATGACCCGTTTAGGAAAGTAGAGGTATTAATTTTGACTTATATAAAGAAAGGTAGAAGTAGACCTAAAAATGCTTGGCTATAAAATATTAGAAATGATCTTTCTTTATTAGATTTAAACGAGAATATGATTTTAACATGACACATGGAGAAAAAAGATTCATGGAGCCGACCCCACGTAGTGGGACAAAGGCTTGATGTTGATGTTGTTGTTGAAGATCTAAGAAGCCATTTATTTTACATCTATTACATATGTTTAATATAATACAAGTATCTTCTGATTGTAGGTTTTACTTGGCAATATTCAACCAATGATTCCTTTTACATGCCTTTGTCAGTAAATAGTGAGGCACTTTCATTCTTACTTTTCTGCATCCCAACATTTATTCGTGTGTTTTTCTTTATAGTAAAGTGGTTTTCAAGTGAAATTTCATAACTTAATTTTGTGTAGTTTTAAAATATGTTGCTCTCTAGTGTTATAAAAGCAGATTGATTAGTTTCACAAAATTTGGGAACACTCTAATATGACATGACCCCGCACATATCTGCTGTCTACTCTTCAAGTATGCTACCTAATATATAGAGAAGATAGTTTTTTTCAGAACATCTAATATATGGCAGCATTTTTTTCATCTTGCATTTAGTATAATGCCTTGCTATTTCAACTGAATGTGAAAGCCTGAAGTTTCATTTGTGTGTGAAGGATGGGCATCTATCAGGGGCGGAACCACCTAGTCCCTAGGGGGGGCAATTGCCCCCCCTAAAAAAATTAAAAAATTGTTTATTACATGGATATTTAGGTAATTTGTTCCCATCCATCTTTTTTTTACTCTTTATTATAGGAGTTTTTTGGCAATTGCCCACCTAAAAAAATTAAAATATTATGATCTTTAGGTGATTGCCCCCCTAGCAGAATTAAACACATTGTGTAGAGATATTATTTATAAATTTGCCCCCCTAAGAATCAAGGTTGGTTCCAGCCCTGGCATCTACAATAGCATATATATGCTCATTCCCCTCTTCTTTTCTTCAGTATACTACGATAGCTTTCTTTTGTTTTTTAATCCTACTGTTGTACTGAATCGTACTGTTCTTCTGTTTTATGAAATAATACTGAACGGCCTATAGCTTCATCAAAGTTGTCAGGCTGGCATTTACCACATAAATTGTTATGCTGTACAGAGAGACACATTTCTCATGTTGTACGCTCTCACCAGTATGAAATATGGGTGATAGATATATAAGCTCCCTTTCTATGCCTCCTATATGAATATCTTGCCACTTTGGTTATCATTATTTGTTCTAAAGTTAAATATTAATGGAATTTATTGCCATGCTGATATTTGTTTATTGTGACCTTTTTTCATATTTATGAAAAATATTAATTGAAGTTAAAAAAATTACTACTTTAGTTGGTTGAATCGCATATTGATCTTCATTATTGTTGGGATTCCAATGTCTTTCTTCACTAGTTTTTTGTTTTTTTACCTTTCACTTTGTTGTTGACTCGGGCTTAAATTTAGAAAGAAGTCTTAGTTTTAGCATGACATTTATCATATTTGCATTCTAGGTGGTAGGCAGGACAAATTTGAATACACAGGGGTAATTATTCTTTTGATAGGATCCATTTAATTTACGTTGATAAATAACTTAATAGGGGTGTTCTTTATCATTTCCAAGCATGCAAGTTTTTTAGTTCTGAAATGCTTTTTTTAGGTTGGAGCTAACTTTTCTACTTCAAGGGCTAAGTGGGCAAATTTGACAAAGCAGCCTTTCTAGTTTTGGTTCTATCACGTTCCAAATTATTTTTCAGGGTTTTTGGTTAATTTTTTTTTCTTTCTTAATGCCATGCTTAGGTTTTGGCAATTCCTATGTTAGCTCCTAGGTCTTACACAAAAGAAGATGTGGTTGAGCTTCAATGTCATGGTAATGATTTATGTTTGCGCCGTGTGCTGAGGGCTTGCTTGGAGGCTGGGGCAAGGCTTGCGGAGCCTGGTTAGCATCTTATTTACCTTTTAATTTGTGGTTATGGTTGCTCAATTCTTATTTGAAAAGTTTGTTATGTTGGTTATGCAATGAGTTTTTTTTTTGGGGCAAGCTTTTAAGTAGTATTTTCAAAATCAATAGGTTCACGTAAGGCATGCAACTGTAGGCGTTCGCTCAAGCAAAGTGGAGCTTATAGAATTATCACCTAAATTTATTTTAAATTTGGGGAGAAGGTTTTGAAGAGTATGAAATGATAATTGTCAAAATAAATTATATTACTCAAAATTATGAATTTTTAGTTAATTGTCTTTCATGTTTAAAAGTGTTGCTAAATATATTATGTAAAAATATCTGTTCTTGACTTCTTTCTTCTATGCCACTTGATCCGTAGCCATTTATCTTTTTCTCTATTTTCTTGGACTCTTTCTCTTTATTTTTACTATTTTACACCTCAAGTTTTTTCTCATGATATTTGTACGGCTTGTTTTCAAGAATGCATGATTGTTTCTCGGACTCCTGATGTTTTTTTTCACATAATACATCGTCAAGTTTTTATCATCAAGGCTATTTAATTTTTAGAATTTGAGGTACTAGTTCTTATCTCTTAGATCAATGAATGATGTTCACCTTATTACCTTGCAACTGAAGGCATTTTTTCTAGGGACACTTTAGTAATACACTTGCTTGGGGAGGTGGGTGAGGCGCTATTGTTTTGCCTTACCTACCTCGCCCAAGCACCAAAGTGAGTACCCTTGCTAACTATTTGTTTTCTTTGGCACTTGTTTGTTGTTCTTTAGTATTAATGATTATTTTTTTGTTTTAAAGTTGAGAGATAAAGTTTTAAGAGAGCTTAAAAGTAGATTGTACATAAGCAAATATATTTGGTGGTACAAAATATCACCAAGAAAAAGATATGTGCAATTAAGGAGTGAGGATATTCAAAATATTACCAAGAAAAAGAAATGTGCAATAAAGGAGTTGGAAAAAATAAACTCCTTTGAAACTTATAATGATTGTAAGAAAGCAAAAAGGCTTGCAAAAATGATAGCGAGCAAAGAAAAAGAAAACTAAAACTTTGATAATTTATGTAATAGGCGAGGTATTAAGAAAGGAGAAAATGCAATATATAAATAGCTAAAGTAAGAGAGAAAATATTCAATGACATTGATTAAACTAAATACATTAAAATTGATAATATTAGTTAAAAAGAGTGGAAAGTTGCTAAGACTAATTATTAAATGATAGTTTTAAAAATCAAATATGTTGGAAGAACACAATGAATAGAGTAATGTGGTATATTATAAATTAGGGATTTTTACATACATAACACATCAAACTATTATATTTACTTATATAACAACCAAAGTGTACTATTCACATACATTCCACCCAAATACACTATGTTTCATCTAAATTATCACTCCGTCAAAACTTTGCCTTTCACGTGTGAAATTCCTTCTTCTTCGTTGCTGCAGTGTCCACCTGACCCTGCCTTTGTCGCACGAAAACCCAATCTTTTTTTCGCTAGAGTGTTTGCCTTCCGTCATTAGAAGAGAGTGACACACTCCTCCATCCTATGCGAGCAACCTAACCGAGCAGAATATGTGTCCGACGACAATAGTGTGAAGAACCAAACCGAGAAGATCTCCCTTCACCTCTTCCTCGCTCGAACAGGTACTCAGTTTGAGCTTCTCTCCCTTCGTCTTCTCCAATCCTGGGCGTTCATGTGGAGAGAGGATTCATGGTAAAGATGAGAATTGGGGGGGGGGGGGGGGGGGGGGGTTCTGATTCTTTTTTATTGAGAGAAATGTGTGATATGAATCTTTTATTTTCTTCAGTATAAATTCAATTGAAAGTTGTTTTTCATTCCATTTGTTGAGTTTCTTTGTTGTTGATTGACATTACAAGACCTTCTAATTCTCCTGCAATTTGATTGTCTGGTAATATGACTTGAATTGAAGTGAGTGTAACTTGATTCCATATGCGCAAACTTTTATTTACCTGGATCAATTTTTTAACAATATAAGAGAAGGTTTGGTATCTGCTTGTGCTTCTTGAGACAACAAAATAAAGGAAGATATCCTGATGGTATGATATCTAGACAATCAACAATACAATTCGAACATACCATAACCTATACAAAAAGGGTTCTACTTGTTGGCGTCGAGCTTCGGTCGAGACTTCCGATCCGATAGCAACGAAGAAATGGACAAGACGAAAAGAAAAATGCTATAGAGAGGATAGATATTGTTACCATGGCTGTGAGCTCCGTTATGGACTTTCGATCTCGATAGCAAAGAAGAAATGGAGCAAACGAAAAACAACCTATGAAACCGAAGAAGATGCGAGTGGTCAAACTAATAGGTTTTTCCTTTACGGCGAGCTCCGATCTACACTTACGATCCGATAGCAACAAAGAAATGGAGAAGTCGAAAAACAAACCGTGAAACTAAAGAAGATGCCAGGGGTCGGGCTGATAGGGGTTTTGTCTTCGCGGTGAGCTTCAGTCTACACTTCCGATTCGATAGCACCGAAGAAATGGAGAAGACGAAGAGCAAACTTGCTCTTGCAACAAAGATGCGACTAGTCGGGCGGTAGGGTGATGGAGTGGTAATTTAGATGAAACGGGTGTATTTGGGTGTTAGGTATATGAAGTATACTTTGAGTGTTAGATAAGTAAATATAATAATTTGAAGTGATATGCATATAAAATTCCCTCTAAATTATTCCAAAAAAAAATGAAGTGGATTTGATCATGAAGAAGATCCATATAGGTGTGCTATTACTAGTTATAAGTCAGTAATACTAGAAGATAAAATGATATTTAGGTGTGATGAGTTTAGTTTGTTTAGATTTATTATACTAAGGAATGTGATATAACTTACGGAGTTAAGGTTGAATTTTTAAAGTGGAGAAGTACCTCAGGAGTTATGGTGGGATAAGATAATATGCTAGTTAGATTGTATGGCTGCAAGTCTTGGGTTGTTGAAAATCCATTGATATATAAGTTGACCATGACAGATATGAGAATGGAAAGATGGATTTGTGGTAATACTAGAATGATGGATTTATAAATGATTATATTAGAGAGTCAGTGGTAGTAGTAGGATCTATTGAAGATAAAATATTGAAAAATGAATTTATGGGGTTTTGTATATATAAAAACAAGGGTAGAAAACACATCAATAAGACGTATATATATGATGTTAATGTAAAGGGATTCAGTAGAGCAAAAGTTACTTAGAAATTGTGCCAAAGGACTTGCAAAGAATTGTTTAACACCTAGTTTAACACTCAACTGGGATGAACGGAGAGCCTAACTTGTTCCTAGAGTTTTAGATTTTATACATCTCTAAATCGTGCTTCTTGTAGGTGAATTCACACTCCGGGCTTTTCTAAATGGGCGCTTAGACTTAGCTCAAGCTGAAAACGTTGGCAAACTTATTGCATCGAAGTCTGTGGCTGCTGCTGATGCTGCCTTGGCTGGGATACAGGCATGTTAATGCTTTACTTATTTATGCTTTTAAGGTTGATCATTATTTATTTCTGATGTGAGGTTTGATAACATGTTTACACATTTTTCATGTTTCGTGCTTCGGACTTAATATGAATGAATTTTCTGTTGCAGGGAGGATTTTCTGTTTTAGTCAACTCATTGAGAAAGCAATGCATCGAGTTGCTTGCAGAAATTGAAGCTCGCTTAGATTTCGATGATGAGATGCCACCCCTGGACATGGTGATGTTGGTCAGCAAAATAGATGCTATGTGGTGTGACGTGCAGGAAGCATTAGAAACCTCAAATTATGATAAACTTCTTCGGTCTGGCTTGCAGGTATTCTTCCATAAATGCTCTTAAAATTTTCTCAACTTCAGAATGGATTTCTGAGACAATATGAGCATCTGGTATTTTGTTATGAGTTTTTATTGCTTAAAAATACGTATAAGCCTCTCTGTGTTTTAGTTTTCCTCCCTTGTGCATGAATAGGCAAAAGAGTGTGTACAGTTTTATAAAAGGAGCTATGATTTACTGACACACCTCCTGAGGAGAGAATGCAATGTCAAACACGAACACGTGCCCGACATGGCTAGGACACGTGTTGGACACGGCAGACACTTGTCCAATTAAAATAATACTAATATTTAAGTAGACGTGCGTGTTGGACATGCGTGTCCTAATTTTTTATGATAAAATTATTTTAAATTACAATTTTTTTAATGTTTTTATATTTATCAAATCAAATAAAACATCACATTCGCTCATATATGCATCAATACAAGTCCACTACCTGCCATATGCCTTAGGTTTTTTCCCCTTGCTTCGTTTCCCGAAGCCCCTCTTGGTTTCGAACTTCCCTCCTCCCGTCACCTGTAATGCTTGCCAACCGTAGGCTCTGCTCAAATAGACACCGTCCTTCTCATTCCAAGTCGAAACCCCTTCATCCTTCGCTTCTCTCACGTGAGCAGGACCCGACCAATCTCCCCACCTTTGCTCTCCCTCGATCTCATGCCGGAAGACCCGCTAAACCCCTCTCCTCCTTCGTCTCTTTGGCACACATAGCAAACAGAAGCCCATGCCCGACCTCCTACCCCTGGCTCGAACCTGAGTTCCTCTCACCTGTTGAACTCGACTGCCTCTGAGCCTCCTGTCGGGCCGACCATCCCTTTCTCTCGCAGGTATATTCCCTTCCCCTTCTTCCTTCTACTCCTCTTCTCCATTCCCTTCTTCTTCTTAGCCCTTCATTCCTCGTATTTGCTCCTTGCTCTTGAAGCTATGTTGTTGCACCTTTTTCCCTAGTCATTAATGCAATAATAGCAGGATTGGTCTTTGTTACTAAAAGTTAGATGGTATATCCGACAATGTTTCGGGTTGCTTAGTTTTGTTATATTTTTGCATGATTATTGAAGAATGAATATTTTTGTAGGTAATAATGATTATTATAAACCTTTATGCCTACTTGTGTTTGCAATTTTTAGTGACATGCAATAAGATGAATTTTGATTATGTCTTGATGATCTTTATATGCATGCCTTATTGGTGCATCTTGTAATCTTTGTTGTGCATGCCTAAGGCAGGAAACGGGTCAATTTGTGGCTTTATCAATAATCTATATCTAGAATTTGAGTATTTAAAGCATTTTTTCATTGACATTTCTACTATACAAGCATATGGAATGAACTGAAAAATATTTTGCAGAGTAATGAATTCATAAAAGTGATCATGCACATTTCGTAAGTTATAGAGTAATTATGTATATAATAATGGCATACACTATTTGATGTAGAACTATATATGCAAGTGATGTTGATTTGAAAATTACGCGTGCTTGAACAAAGCTTAATAATTTATTAACTCACGATGAACTTAAGCAATGACTTCAACATGCAAGGGGGCAATTAGGTTTACGAAAAGAATCACATGCTAATGGGAAGACTAGGACCATTAAATAACATATTAATTAATAACATGCTCACGTTGTGTTTCAGAGTCAATCCCTAAGTTAACAAATAGATTAGTCACTACTATGACCCACTCACACAACGCTCTTGGTGTAGGCTGAGAAGCGGATAGGCTTTCACAATAAAACAATGCCACTATTGAGGAGGGATCAAAAAGATACAAGTGGAGAGAGAATAAGTTACTAAGACACATCAAAGTCGTTTGGCTGCCTATATGGAAAGGACAACAATATGAACCCTTTTGCACTCTCGGACAACACTCTAACGTCTCTGAAAATTTTGGACAACAACTATGTGGGCGCCAAATTCTGGAACAACTAGTAGTGGGGCTGGAGAATGGGCTGATCCTATATTTCAGCAGCAAACAACAGTCTTTGGGATGATTTGGGAGGGAAACAACAAGCTCCATGCGTGAAAGAGGGGGGAGGTGGACAAGCACTAAATAATTAGGGGGCTGATTTGGGGCCTTAGTGGAATTACTAAGTATAGCTTACTAGTTAAGGAAATATGAATTAATTCAGATTTCCAATCAATACTCAGATTTGTTGATGGGTATATCCTTCCAAACATAGCCCAACCATTTAGTAAAGGAATTCAAGGCTTGTAGGAGAATTCGAATTTGAATTCAAATTCCCAAAATTAATGCTAGGCTAATTTAGGAATGGGAATTAATTGAGATCTCCAATTAATATTAAAATTGATTGATTGCGGTATCTTTCCAAACATAATCTAACAATTTGGGAAAGGATTTCAAGGCTTTAGGAGATTTCAAATTTGAATTTCAGATTTTCCAAAATTAACACTAGTCTAATTTTGGAAGGGGAATTAATTGGGATCTCCAATTAATATTCAAATTGATTGATTGGGATATTTTTTCAAACATAATCCAACAATTTGAGAAAGGATTTCAAGGCTCCAGGAGATTTTGAATTTGAATTCACATTTCCCAAAATTAACACTAGGCTAATTTAGGAAGGGGAATTAATTAGGATCTCCAATTAATATTCAAATTGATTGATTGTGATATCTTTCCAAACATAACCCGACAATTTGAGAAAGAATTTCACGGCTTTAGGAGATTTCAAATTTGAATTTCAGATTTTTTTCGAAATTAACCCTTAGCTAATTTAGGAAAATGTTAGAGGATCAATTTGAAATTTTGGGGGGAAAGGGAAGAGGGGGTCATGATGGTTTCGGCCATGGGAACAAGGAGGTAGTCGGCGGCTATGAAGAGAGGGGATAGGAGAAGCTGTGCATGGTCAAGGTTAGGAGGAGAAAGGAGGTGGTCGGTTGGAGCTTTTGGAGGAGATGAAGGTGGAGGCAAGCTCAATGGGGGTGGAGACGGAGATAAAACGTAAGCTCGGATGCTTCCTGTGGCTGATGGGTCTTGTTTTTCCCTCACTAGGGACTTCACATAAGTTCTCACAAGAACTCTCAAGGCTCTCAAACACACCTAGACACAAAGTGCAGAAATTTTCATTCATCATTATCATCATCCCTCCCAAGGGGGAGGTGAGAGGCCTATAAATAGACAAAATACAATAAAACAACAAATGACAAAAGTTCCCCCTAGGTCACATAAACCTATTCCCTCAAGTGAGGGTAAAAATGAAAAATTACACATTATAAATCAAATACAAATAATTGCTCAGAAATAAAGCAATTTGATCCTAGTCGTAGGATCTCCGGCCCTTCCTCTGATAAACTTTCCACGACCGGAGGCCCTCATCACTATTTCATTATGATTACTAGTTGATGAATTAATCTCTTTTTTAAAGTTAATATGTGAAAAAATTTAGGGATAATTACCGATCAACATTAATTCCATATTTTTTGTATTGATTGCAGCTTGATGTGTAGCTGATATATATAGTTATTATTTGTGATACATATCCTTCATATAAAGTTGAAGAATGCAGAAAATATTTTGAAGATAAAAAATATTTAGATTAGATAAGCATATATTAATTATATGGTATGCACTTAGAGTATCAACCTTGAAAATAATGTAATATCTTGATATGATAAGTTTAGTGTTTTAGATTTATCATAAAGACATATAGAAGAAATAAATGAGATAGGTTTTAGAAGTAAAGCTAAATGGTTAAAATAGAAAAGTACTTTGAGAGTATAACATAATAAGATAATACTATAGAGACTTAAATTTTTAGAAAGTTCTAATTAGAACAATTATGCTATATGGATTCAAGTGTTTGATGATAAACATGACACTGAAGTTAAGTTGAGCATGATAGAAATGAAAATATTAAAATAAATGCATATCAAAAGTAAGAAGAATGGACTTAGACGTGACTATTGGAGAAAGCATGCAAGGAGCATCTATTGTTGAGAAGTTTGAGAATACAATAATAAGATAGATAAATTTAATGTTAAGGTATTGAGATGGAAAATGGTGTAGATGAAATGTATCATGGATTGATGTTGGGAAAAATGATTTGCTCAAAATAGGCTTGACACCTCATTCAACACAAACATTAATGAATGGAGGGAGAATAAAGATTCTATAAGCCAACCTCAAGTAATGGGATAAGGCTTTTGATGATGATGATGATAATTGTTATTATTGCATATGCAATGTCTAATACTTTTCTAAGTACAATTTGAAAGTTAATTTATGCACACCTTAAAATCTAATTTATCAGAGCCACTCCATCACAATAAAATAAATGAAACTAAATATTATTTGTCTGATAAAACTTGTATTTCATCCATTTATTCAAATAAAAGAAAGTATAAATAAGCAGCATAACCTAGTCCCTTAAGGTTGGCTGACACCCTTGACTATTTAACCCACCTTCTCTTTTTGATGCCAACTAGTAACAAACCTTAGTTAACCCCATATGCACGTTATCTTAGTAAATGATGGGTTGCTTGGGCATGGAATAACGTTTAGTTAAGGTTGCATGTGGCTAATGCAACCCCACATAGGTTGCATGTGACAGAAATACATCCTGGTATTGTTGCAGAACCTGTTGAGCTCCTACTGGAATATCTCTTGCCTCCCATTCCTGGACCCTTTCTATGCTTTACAACTCTACCAAATTGCCCTAGTCATGCATCTTGGATTGTCATGAGCATTGTTTTTAAAGAGACCATGGTCTTACATAGGCTAGCATCCCCTTGAAGCACTACCTTCTTCCCCTCCACCTGTATCTTCATGGTCAAGGACTTCTAGTTCACCTTTATATCCCCCATAGTTTTTAGCCACTTCATTCCCATAATCACATATATAATTCCCAAGTCTAAGGGAAGGAAATCTTCCACCAACTGAATACCTTGCAAGGTCATCACCACCCCTTTACATATCCCTCTGCTCCTCTCTATCTTGCTTGTGTCTCATCACCCCGTATTCTTTCGTTCTTGCTAACTTCAATCTCAATCAGTCCATCACCCAATTTCTAATGAAGTTATGTGTGGCTCCGCTATCCACCAGAACTATCTTCGATTGCTCTCCAATTTGCCCCTTACTTTCATAGTGTAATTTGAAGTAATTCCCACCACAGAGTTCAAGGACACCTTTGCCACATCCAAATGCAACTGCTCTGTCTCCTCCAATACATCCTCCAACTTGTCCTCGCTCTCCTTTTCCCCCTCACAGACCATCAAGACCTGAAGAGCTCGATTTTTGCACTTATGCCCAAGTGTAAATCTCTCATCACACCTGAAGCTTGCACTTCTGCTTCTGTGATGCATTTGAAATTGCCTCCTGGACAAACTCCATTCTCCTTAGGTGCTACCCTTTGAAATGACACCGTCTAGGTCCTCGGTGCCAAGGTAGTAGAGGTGTTCCTGGCTCGCCCATGGAATTGCTCCAATTGGCCTTCTCCCTATGATGTTTCTTTTCCACCCTTTGTGCTAGCTCCATCATCTCTCTCAACCCTCTAGGCCTTAGTACATTGAGCTCTGCCCGTATGTCCTCCTTAAGCCCCTTTATGAAATTCCCCTCAAATCCTTCCTCGGAGATTCCCCTTAATCTCCCTGACAGCAACTCAAACTTCTACAGGTACTCCATAGTTGTCCCCTCCTGAGCTAGGGCATAGAATTGCTCGTGGAGGTCTCCTTCCTGAATGGCTCGAAAACATTGTAACAAACACTTCTTAAATTCTCCACATGAGTAGATCGGATACCTCACCTCCCTCCATTGGAACCAAGCTAGGGCTTTCCCTTCCAAACATATACCTGCTGGCATAAGTCTTTCCTCTTCCATCAGCCCATTGATAGCAAAGTAACTTTCCATCCGGTATGCCCAACCCTGAGCATCATCCCCTTCAAAAACTGACATCTTTAGCTTCCCCGATCTCATATCCATACCCAAATGATTTTTTCCACCATTTGTTCCTCCCGTGTAGTGGTGGTGTGATTCTCTCCCTTCTTCCTTTGCCGGATTTGGACCCCATGATTTGGCCCAACCATTGCCCTATACGACCCACCCACCCTCCTGTTTGGGTGGTCTCCAAAAGGCTTCGGCCTCCCCTCTCTTTGCAGCCCCTTCTTCGTAATTAATACCTTGACGCACCTCCCCTCAAAGTTCGTCGGGATGGTTCGTGAGGAAAAACCATCTCCACTTCATCATTGTTTTCCTGAAGTCTCTTTCCTTTCGGATCAGCCCTAGGACTAGCTTGTGAAGCTTGTGATTGCATCTCAATTAATTTCCCCGTCATGCCTTTCATGTTCTCGAATCAGTTTTCCATTCGGGTTTCTATGGACGACAACCATTCTTCCATTCCGGAATATTTTTCCTCCATCCCGGCCTTGGGTTATTCCATCTCTCCTTCCAACTACTCCATTTTCTTTACTGGCATTCACGGATTTAGGTTCTCAAGTGCAAAAAAAAAAACATCTATGAATGGCCTTCAGTAAGCAAAAATAGCAAAGGGAAGGAATTTTGTAGCAAATTTCAGCGAGTACATGATAATTTTTGGTCATGATGGCTCTGATACCAATTTGATAAGCCTTGGAGTCAATTTCAACAAATCACAGTAGGAAATCCACAAAAAAAAATGTAGAAAGCAACAAAATTAAGAGGAAATTGTGGCTGATTTCTATTAATAACTCATCAAGAAACAAAATATACAAGCGATCTACAATTAGAGAGGTAGATCGTCTTTTCCAATCAACCTAGACATTGCTAGGATGCCCATGCCCTATTAAAAGAAACTACCGCATAAAACTCCTGAAAATATAACCCTAATACAAAAATAACATTCCTATATATTCCCCATTTTCCCTCCAATTCAGTCCTAAAATATCTCTCTTGCCTTAATTAAATTCCCTCTCTAAATTGAATTCAAAATCCCCTCATCAATTCTTCCCTTAATCCTCCTCGCATTTGGAATGATTGGCTTACTAGGCCCCACACGGGGAGGAATTAATGTTGGACCAGCCGTAACAAAGTGTTGAATAGGGAAGCTTTGGAACACTAGCTCGGCCATTGAGCGTGTTGAGTGCAATCCTATCTTGTATTTTGGCTTGTTGGTGAGAAAGGCTATTAGCAGCTTTGAAAGCACGAACATTTGTATTCTACTCACCCTAGGATGGTGAAATGATCATTCTTTCGCTTATTCAGCTCGATTTGCTTAGGCTTAACGAGCTTTGTAATTCTTTTTCTCAAATTTTTATGCTTTTTAAGGTTTGTTTAGACATTGACACATCTGGTAATGATCTATCAACTTTGCCTGTCATTAAGGACATTTAGTTTACAACTTATTTGATTTATAGTGGGGAGCTTCAATGATTTTTATAACCTCTTTGTTTATCATAAGTAATATCCACATCAGCACAAGGGTAAGGGGCTTGCACAGAGTTGTCCTGACTTATTAATGTCCATTTGATGAAAGAGAATAATTTGATTTGCATTTGATTGATTCAAAGAACATAACTTGACCACTAAGTGTGTTGGCACACAAACCAATAAAACAAATGCTTACATCTATTGATTAGACTATTCTTCATGTTTTTGTGTTGCATGCAAGCTTTCTAGTGCCTGCGAACTTCAATATTTTCCTCGTCTCTTGAAGGCTGAAGTCAACAGTGGAATCTTATTTTTTTTTTGGGACAGTTAAGGGATTCGAGCCCGGGTGAGACGGGAGGAATTTCTTCCGTCGGCCACTCGGCCGCAGACTCGATCTCGTGGAATCTTATTTGCATTGCTTACTTTAGACATGCAATTTTTTTTTTTTGGTTTTTGCGAACAATATCGCATGTGTACAAAAGTTCACACTTTAAAGTTATAAGGTTGTTTGCCTTTTTTACTTTACTCTTCATATGTAGAGAATCAGGTCATGAATTGTTATTGGGCTGTGGGTCTTATCAACTCTACCTTTTGCATGCAGAGGATTTGGCCACAAATATTTAAATAGTTATTTGGGATCTGGGGCGCAAAAATTATGTTTATTCTTTTTACAACTTGGACAATTAAGGAGACGTGAGCTTTTTCTACTTCTATATTGAGTATTGAACTTGGCAAGCTTCATATTTTTCCTGTATTTAAGCCCCGTTCTTTTTATTTCTGCAATTTAGACATTTTCATAATCTGCATTGGGTGAGAAATAGGGGACTACATGCTTCAATACAATCCTAATAAGGTCCACAGAGCTACATGATTATTTGGCTTTGTTAATGTTGATACCGTTTTCTATTTTATAGCTTATTTTTGAACTCTCTAAGAGCATGTATTGTGAAAATTCCTGTAGATAGCAATCATTGGCAGGCCTAACGTTGGCAAGTCCAGCCTTCTCAACGCATGGAGCAAAGTAGGTTTATTGAGTAATCTTCAACATTGTCATGAACCATTTTTTGCTGTTAAAATTTAGGCTTCGTTTGGGACCGCTTTCTTTCTGCTTCTTAAAGCAGTTTTCCAGTACAAAAATTTTAAGAAGTTGTTTTAAGAAGCAATAAAAAAGCCGTCCCAGACGAAGCCTTAATCATGATCAACGCAAATGAAAGAACTTGTTTTTAGATGCTTATTCAAATTTTCTCTCTACTAGTATGCAGAGTAACAGAGCAATAGTTACTGAAATTGCTGGAACTACAAGGGATGTTGTAGAAGCAAATATAAGTATTGAGGGTATTCCTGTAACATTACTCGATACCGCGGGTGTTAGAGAAACTGATGATGCTGTGGAAAAAATTGGTAAGTCAAGGGGGTATTAAGTTAGTTGAAACTTTGTAAATTTGGGTTGATTAACTTTTGTTCTATTTTGCAAATAGGTGAATTTACAAATAGATGAGCATGATTACTGTTTAGGGAATAGCTGGAGTAATCTCTCCAGTTTTTCCCTTCAAACAAAACCTGTTAATTTCTCATTTAGGCATCATTTGGGATGGCTTTTTAACTGTTTCTTAAAGCTATTGTTTAGTACAAAAATTAAAAATTTTAAACTAAACAGTTGCTTTAAGAAGCAATAAAAAAACCATCCCAAATGAAGTCTTAACCAGAATTATGATTTCTAATTTTGATATCTATGTTTATGTCTTGATCTGAAATACTTTTTTTAACGTAATTCATTTAAAACTGTTGTGCAATATATATAAATAAAAATTTGTATGCTTCTCTATAAATTTAATTTGATGTATAGGGGTACAAAGATCAGAAGCCGCTGCAATGGGCTCTGATGTTATCATAATGACAGTAAGTGCAGCTGATGGGTGGACTGAAGATGATCAAAAAGTCATTGAACGCATTAAAATGAATCAGGTTTGTACTTGTTATTTATTAACTTTATTTTCATTTATTTTTTAAGCTTTTTTTTTTTGTTATACTGTTGATAATCTTTTGTTTGTCTTTGAATGCTCCATTTCCTCTTAAGAACAGAGTTCAACTAGTTGTACTACTCCCATGATTCTTGTTATCAACAAAGTAGATTGCGTTCCTTCAATATCAGTGCAGCCTTTTGCATTTGGTGATGAGATCTTTAAGAAAAAAGTTCAGACTAGTGCTGTTACTCGAAAAGGCATTTTGGAGTTGGAGAAGGCAGTGTTAGAGGTCAGGGGACTCGAGGGCATTGCCATGGGAGGTCGCAGATGGACTGTAAATCAGGTAAATGCATTATTTTATGGTTTTGGTTTTTATGTTTTTAGGTAAGAAATATTGAATATAAGGACTACTTGTTTGAAGACTTTTTTTTAAAAAAAATTAAGTTAAAATATTGATGCAATGAGCTTGCAGTAATGATTAAGGCTTCTTTTGGGACGATTTTTTTGTTGCTTTATAAAGGAGCTTTTAACTAAAAATCTGTTTGAGAAAGCAGTGAGAAAGTTGTCCCAAATGAAGGCTAAGAATGGTGAAATGACGAGATGGTCGTAGTAAAAATTAACTTTGTTCGAGGATTTATTACAAGAACTGATTATTATTGGTAGATTTTTCCTTTCCAATATTTGGGAATACTCAAAATGTGGTGAGGAAACCCTAGCAAAAATATGTGTAGCATGTAGAGATAATTGACTTGAATGATTAGGGGGTGTAAATAAACAAAGTTTAGATGACCCAACATGTTTAGCTCGGCTTGTTTAGCAAAAGAGCCAAATTTATTTGTTTGCGTTCGACTCATTTAGTTATCTAGCCGAACACAAGTTATTCACAAATATTAAGGCCTTGTTTGGGACGGCTTTTTTACTGCTTTCTTAAACAAATTTTTAGCACAAAATTTTCTTATACTTGAAAATTTTGTACTAAAAACCTACTTTAGAAAGTAGTAAGAAAGTTGTCTCAAATAAGACTATATTATTTGTGTTTGGCTTGTTAAGTAATTAAGCCTATAAAATTAATTAAATTCAAACTAATTATCTATTATGGTATTTTATTTAGTCTCTTATTCATCAATATGATCTAAAATAATCTCTATGTTGAATCATTTCGGATCATATTTGTAGAGTTGAAAAGACTATTTTGGTTGATTTGAGAACTCAATGTATAGGATTGGATATATTAGATTATGGCTTTGTTTGGGACGGCTTTCATGCTGCTTTCTAAAACGGCTTTCTAGAAAACAAGAAATTTTTGTACGAGAAAGTTTCTTTAAAAAACAACAAAAAAGCTGTCTCAAACGAAGCCTACAGGGGACTGTTACGGCCTCCATAAATAGTCAAAGAATCATTTGGACATTTTTCTCTATATTCTTTAAAAACTCAAACTTCTTTTGCATTCACAGAGGCAGACAGAGCAACTTATTCGAACAAAAGAGGCTATGTCGAGGCTAAAATCATCTATAGCAGAAGACTTGCCATTGGATTTCTGGACCATCGACCTTAGAGAAGCAGCAATGGCCCTCGGAGAGATCTGTGGCGTCGATATCTCTGAGGAAGTTCTGTCCAATATATTTAGCAAATTTTGCATTGGAAAATAACCAATTCTGTATGAGATTTCTTTGGCTTTATAATCTGGCGATATTGTTAATCTATCTATAGCATTTGCGTTTCTTAAACGCAGCTTTTGCTATAATTATTTTTTTCCCTTCGTTTAAGGTGTTAAAATTTTTTTTTATTAGTTATAGTTAAATTTATTTTGATTTTCTTTTAATCATTTATAGCAAAGTAATCATAATTATTTAGAGGAAATTGTGATAATTCAATTATTATATTTTTAATTCTTTAACAGTCAAATATTAATGAAATCAGACAATTAAATAAATTATTGATGAGGTTATTTCATCGCACTTGTTTTTAATTTAATTCTATCAAGAGTCAAATTCTCATTTAAATCTAATAAAAATATCTTTTTTTAGTACTTTTCAACCAAATCTTTTCAGGTCTATCTGTGTCTTTCTTAATATAGGCTCAATCAGATACATCTATTCTCCTATAGAGTTAACATTTATTGTGATCAAATCATCTAAGGTGACTCTCTTTAATCTTATTTGCCACTGAAGCTATTTCAATCTATCTGTGAATCCTAAAACTTCTTAAGAAATTTGGTCTTTTTCTTATTCTCTGTTGTCTTTTCTATTCAATGTACTCAGTATTTTTCAGTATATTTGAACGAATGATTCTGAATTCTTTTGAAAGAACTAGTTTGATACAATCCTTGGACTAATTCTGCCTTACAAGCTATTTCTTGTTTGTTTTCACAGCTCTCATTAATTACTGATAAGCCCATTCCATTCAAGTGCTAAAGTTTTATTTGTAATAACTTTTTTAAAGAAAATTTTAAAATTTTAATTTTTTATACTAGAAAATTATTTTAAAATAGCAGTGAAAAAACTGTCAGAAATGAAGCCTAAGTTTTCCCTCAACCTTCTGAAAGGACCTAAGCCTAGCAGAGCAACGATCACAGTGCCGAGGGAGGTGGTGGTCGGAGGTGCCGTCGAGCTTAAGAAGCCATAGATTCCAACATTGAAGGCTGAGGGCAGCATGATCAACCCATACTAGCCCGATGGATCGAAGCTCCTTGATTGTAATTCATTGAATGAGTTACATGCATAGAGATATAAGTCTCTTTAGTGAAGTGTTGCTCCTCTTCACTTAGTTTTAGGATTTATTTGAGACAGTTTTCTTACTACTTTCTAAAATAATTTTTTAGTATTTTTTTTTTAAATCTTTGGCTATATTTGGGACAAGTTTCTGATTGCTTACTAAAGCAGTTTTTTTATTAAAAAAAATAATTAAAAAAAAAGCTTTAAAAAATAGTAAGAAAATTATCCAAAATGAAACATTAATTTGGATGAGTCTGAGAAAATTAGAATGCATTACACATTCAGCACAAATGTAAATACAAATGAATTACATGTGGATTAACTAAGTACACCTCATCTCAAATTATTTTATAATTATTATATATGTTACTTTATAGTAGATTCTATGCAATATAGACATTCAATAAAGAAAAAAAAAAAGAAAGAATATATAAATAAAAAAAAAAAACTTAGCTACATTTACTTGGGCCTGGATTATTTTTTTTTTAATTTGTTTTTGAAAATTATTGGGTGGTAGAAAATTTGAGTCGGTGGAGTATATGTTTTATGCCTCAGCGTTGTACAAAGATTCAACACGTATGGATGAAAATAGTAAGACCAAAAAAAATTTTACGTATAAAACCCAGAAAGGGAAAAAATTTCAGGACTTAACCCAATTGTAAAATCTACTATATAGTAAGTGATATAAGGATCCCCATTTCTTCACTATTGAAGAAAATAAAGAGTAAGGAAATCAAGAATGACAATTAATACCCAACAACAAGGTTTAATTTTCCAATATGGATTATAGAAAGTTGATGTTCATAGATGAACTTTTATACGCAACAGTTGAGTTAAATCTTATTGATACTCCAGAGATTGTAGAGATTTCTGATGTTGATCGTCGATGACGATGGTTATTGTCGACGTCAATAGTTGGTTGTCGTCGTCGGCAACAATAGCTAGAAAATGTAAAAGAGTTTTTTCTAGTTCGCTATTCATCCTCTCCCCCTACATGTGAAGAATAGAGCTTTAAGGTTTTTGGGAGTGGCATGAGATATAGAGCAAACTCGGAGTTCTCTATTAGACGGTTCATATTGATTCTCTCGATCATAGAGTATTCGTTAAGTATTTAAATGTCTTAATTATGTCAGAATTAAGCGATTTGGAATCGTTGGTTTCGTCTCGTCGAGCCGCTCGATTCGACTATAAGAATGTTTGATTCGAATATTATTTGGTTATCCAATTAATGCTCTAAAACTTTCAAATATGCTTTAAGCTATTGATTCGAGCCCTTTTCTTGTCGTTGGATTTATCTTGTCGTGACGTTCAGTTTGACTTTGAATTTGTCGAGATTAGAGTTCT